AGGAAAACCCATGGTCTCACCTTGATTTTAAATTGTGCAGCTTGCAGCATAAAAATGATGCACTAAGAAACAGGAACGAAGGAAGTTCAAAATTACATACTTAGCCTTTACAGACAGGTGGTAAAAGCTCACATTCTGCTGCAGATGAGTTGTAACTTATTCTTCCCCTTCCATATCTGTGTGGGAAGTCATAATGAGTAGTAAAATTTGCTACCACAACCCCCTCCACTGGTAAGATCACAAAACTCCCTGAAATTACACGGCGCACATTTAAATGTTCCTCCGAGGGCTGCATGTAAAGTGGTGAGTTCAGTGGAGTACTCAGCTCACTGCATCTTTCTGTGTCACAGTAGAAAGTGATAAAATCTGTCTCCAGAAACTCTGAGGCATAATTTTTTTACTCTGGTATTGCAGGCTATAACTTTGAAAGATCTATTTCACAAGAGTATTTTATGATGCTGTGGATAATTTAGAAAGTGTAACGTGACAAGAAAAGCGTGTAACTGAGGGACGGTACTCTATCTTCTGATTTTTCACTTTAAAGGAATAATATTGCACATTACCTAACAGGCATCAGCTGCTAGTATCAAAAGCTAATATTGAAACAAAAAGCAAACAAACAAAATTAATTAGAAAAAAAATTATACAGGAGGTGAACATGTTATCCCTTAAGAATAAGTCTTTCTCATTGTGCTAGAAGAAACAGCCATGAAATTGTTATATTTAGGTCCCTGAAAATTATTTCAGCATTTCTTGCTGTTACAAAAGAAACTCGACTGAAAGTATAGTGTAGAGAAGCTCCCTGCATTACTGTCACTTCATCTGGCTAAAGAACACACAAAAAAAGGAAACTGTGGGTAGTTTCCTAGTAGTTTCCCAGTGTATATGCCCAATATCCCACATTCAGTGCCGTCACTGAAGCCAGTGAATACCAGAAGCAAAACCCCAGGAAAGAATTTAACAGAAACAAAATCCCTGAGTCTTTGTAGCACTGAGCTCCATGTCTGTGTAGAATGTGATAGCTGGAGGAGTTGAGAACCCAGGAGGATTTACTAGTCCTTAGCTCCTATCATTGCTAGGCTCTTTTCCCCTGCTCTGAGCTCGGGCAATCAGCTTCTCTCTGTTTTAGTTTCCCCATAAGTGTAATGGGGTTAATTGTAGCTGTATCATAAGGGTACTGTGAAACTTAATTACTTAATATAAAGAGCTTTTACTTTTTTTGGATATGTGACAGTGCAGGAGGGTAGATAATTATTCATGGTTTTGAAACTTTTTTATGGTTAGTTTACATTTAGGGAATAAAACAGCAGATCCAAAGAGGGAAATGTTTGACCTACTATTTCTACTACAGACTGGGTAATGAGTCTCAGTGATAACAGTAATCTGGAAGTCTGTTAATGTAATTAAAACCACTGACTTTCTTCTAGGTGGGAGGTTTTTAAATGTGGCTGATGTCTTAAATGGAAGTATGCTGCAACTTCATCATAGCTAATGTACCACATCCAAAATTAAGAGAATAATTCTGCTTGTGAACATATTTTTCCCTGAACCTCTACACATTAACATGTCACAATTTACTAGTATGCATTTGGAAAGTCTTCAGCAGTGAAAAAACTTCTGCTTTTGACAGTCTGAGACTCCAGAGGCTCTGGAGTTTCAGCAGTACTACAGTCCTTCATGGCAAGAAGTAAAGGACTGCATGGTGAAAGGTGCTGGCTCTCAGCACTCCAGAGTGGGTGACACAGAGAGGAAGGGAAGAGAGGGCCTAGGACTTGTTCTCTTACTAGGTGTAAAGGAAAACATAAAACTACCTCTTTTAGCTGCCTGCTAAAAGCATTACCATTCACCAGCACTCCATGGGAGACTCCTCTGAGAGAGTCTGGTGAGTGATGGACACCTCTGGAGCCAGGTGCAGGAGATGAGTCCCATGGTGAGCACAGATGAATGCAGAGCTCCCTTGGAGCTCAGGCTGACACCTCATGGTGAGGCTGCTCTGCTCCACTTGCTCCAAAATCATCAAAGCTTGGCTGCACAATTTGTGAGTATGAAACAGAGACCAGCTGAGACCAGTGCACAGTCAAGGGCTGTTCAGAGGAAAAGAGCTTTAAAACTCAAACGAAAATCACTTTCCCCACCAGCTTAGTTACATCCCTTCTGCACAGTAGCTGGGCAGCACAACATATGCAGCCAGATACTACTTTAGTGGAAATTTTTCTTTTTAATACCCTGTACACCTTTGGGCTGCTCTTAGTCAGATGACACCCTCCTGTTTACTGGGAAATGCTCTTCAGTTTTCTGGGAAACTTGATCTTAATGCATGTCCTGTATAGAGGAAGATGCATATTTATGTCTTCAGAAGCAACAGGGCAAACCAATTAAAATGTGGGAGGAAAACCTATTCAATTTTAAACAGCTCAGATACATTGATTTATGACATTTAGTATTTTTTCATTAACAGCTACTAGGTCTTGCCTCTTCTGTATAACACTTTCCACCTGCACATCTCAGCATGTCTCATCACTGTGAGATAATTCAGCTTTAAGGCCAAGTTCTTGTGAGGTAAACAGGAGCATTTGTATGTACTGCCAAACACAATAAGAAAAGTATAGAAGATCTTTAGCCTGGCTCTATCCTGATGCATTCTGTGACCTAATAAACACCTTCTCTGAGCTAACTTCCCTCCTGAAAGCCTGCACTTGTGCAAAATGTCTCTTTGTCAGCACATTGCATCCTGCTCTGAGAGAAGTTTGCTGGCTGTTATCTTGGGAGTATTGGCACCATTCACTCTTGTGCAATTATTGGTATCATACCAAGTTTATTTCCCATAATTTTCACCCCAGAAAAGCCCACACAAAACCCAGCAGAGATGCTGGCCAATGATTGCGTAGTTTTGCCTGCAAGCCTTCTCAGGAGATGGAAAACTGTATAACTGGAGGTCAGGTTTTATCCAGGAAAATAATGGAAACTACTGAGTGAGGTTTCCCTGAGCCTCCTCTTTTCCCCTGAATAGTGTGAAGTTTTCCAGCAGTAGTGGTGCTGTGGTGAAGGTCTCAGCAAGTTCAGCCAAGTTGTGCTGAGAGTGCTCCCAGTCATGGAGACTAAAATCATCCAGTAATTTCCTGGATTCATCTATTTCTGTCAGCCCATCTGTTTTATCTCATCTCTTCACCTAGAAGCCATTTACAAAGGTGAATATCACTTGGCTTAAGGTTTGAGTTTTGCATACATAGGCATATTTTCTCATAACTTTGAATCATCTCTTGCCTCTCTGTCTGCTGGTCTTGGTATTGGATTCCCCATCTCAGGAGGAGGAATGTGAGTTTCTCACATGATCTTAACAATAATTACAGACTTGGGTAGTCACGGACTCAGACTGAATAGCCTAAAGTTGCAGTGCAAGTTTCCCTCCTAAGTAGGGTTTCATTCCACATGTTTGAAGGACATTTTTGGTTACAGTGATTATGTCTTAATTTCTTGACACTGATATTACAAAATAAAACAAAAGCAAAAAAACCCCCACAACAATAACAAAAGACCAAAAAAAAAAAAAAAATCAGCTTTGTTGCTTACCCTTCCTGTGACCAAAATGAGATAGATCCCATCCTAAAAATTTTGATCAAGACTAGTGGGTACTACCAAAGGGCAGTGCTGATATGAGGTGGATCTGGGGAACCTCATCAGTAATCTCTAAGATGTATGTGGATCTCAGTATTTCAGTTTTCCCCATGTGACCTTCCCAAAAATATCAAAGGTTATTTCCTCCTGTCTTGGGCAGTGAAAAGTAGTGTAATAATGCCATTGAAACACTAATAATGTAGTGTTATATTTGTGGGAGATGAAAAATCTGTGGTATAAATAACACAATAAGGATTTCTGTGTTACTAGGTATAATAATATTTGATTGAAAATACACTCACCAGAGTTCAGAGGCTCCAGGCTTAGGTTGGAAGACTCTACAAAGGATCTCTAATGGGATCCAAGGGAAGACTGTGTGGTTCTGTCCTAGTGTTGCACACAGAAAGCAAAAACAGAGGTTTAGACTTCTACATTGAATTTCTCTTTTTTGAGCATTACAGTTGGAAAGTTAGGGGTTTTAATTTCTTTTTTTTTAATTGAGTTTTAGGTTTTAATGAGATGAAATTAAACTTCAGAATTTTTTTTTATTTTATTTTATTATTTCCAGTGGTAGAAGTTTCTACAATGTTAGGAAGAGAAGAGGAAAAAAAGGAGTTCATACTGCTGCTGAACTATGAAATGTGATTTCTATTTCCTGCTGTCTAACAGGCTTCCTCTCCAATGTTAGGCACTTAGATTCAGGTCTTCAATATCCCTCAAAGGTCTAATTTACATTGACTTTAACTGAATATTCCTGAGGAAACAGATCCAAGTCAAGCCCTTCCTCAGTTTCCCACCTGCAAAAGAGACATGAACAGTAACAACAATTAGCATTGTGAGGGGTAAAGGTGGAAAATTCACACTGTGAGGATGTGGTAGATGCCATAAAAATATTCATGCAATGCATTGCCTCTAAGCCATTCAGAAAATTTGGAGGCTTTCATGTTATGTCAAAGAGATTTAGTATAGAATATTGGTCACTGTTTACATTGACAGTGCCTGGTTTTGGCAGCTGTTAGCAGCAACAGGAAATTGAATGACTACACACAATGAAGGGAACATTTTGAATATCATCTGGAAGTGGTATTTCATCCATTTATTGTTGTTCTTTTGGGATAAAGAGGAAAGCCCATTTAAAATTTTTCTTTTTTATTTTTTTCTTTGTCTGGGTAAGCAGTTCTTTTCCCAGACTGAAATGAAAGGTTTCCAGTGTTTTTTCTTCTTTTTAATTGTGAGCCAAGTGGAACCAATGGAAATTATCAGGAACTTCACCTTCATTTACATAATTGCTATGTGGAATGGGAAATTGGCTTATGCAAGGACCCTGAGACTCATTAGTGACAAGCATCTTTAGGAGAGGGAGGTCTCCCTGCTTTAGTGTTCAGCTGAAGGTTGTGGGGGTGTCTGAGGAGATACATTCCCTTTAGCCAGCCAGTTAATGAAAACTCCAGTGGATTGTATGGAATTGAGTGTTTGCCTGTTCCTCTGAGCTCACCTGCCTGGCGATTGCAAACAAAATCCTGATGGCTTGCACGGCAAAAGAAGATGCTGAATGTATGTTTAGGGAAGTGTGGGGAGAGGTATTTTGTTTTCTTACAGGGTGATAGCCACAGATTAAATAAGTGCTTTGTAGCACTGAGTAGTGATGAAGAATTTACTCATGGGTAAAAAGGATAAAACTCTCTCCTTGTTCTTCAAGGTTTTAGGTCCATCAGCAACCAGGGGAAAAGGGGGAATGCAGACAAGAGGCAGCCAACCAATTCCTGCACAGGAATTTGATTGTATTCACTTACACTTCTTGATTCAAATGGCTGCTCCAACATGAGGGACAGGGTAAAATAGTGTGTTGGTGGTTTTTGAACAAATGAGACATTATCAAATCCTGTTTTGCCAAAAAAGTTCAAGAAGGAGCAGCACCTCTATGGGGATTAGTCATAACATGTTTTATACTCCACTGACTCAAACCTCACATTTAAGGCAGTGATTTTGATATCACTCCCATCCTTGCCAGTGTAATTCAGCACAGGCCAAGGGACCTCAGCAGCATTCTTGATTTAAAAGTTCATTAACTGGAGTTAAGTGAAAAGAGAAAGGATGAGTAACAGTTGTGACTGGATGAGTTGATCAAAATGTCTTGTCTTTTCCATCAGATCCTGGTTGTTGAAAGCTTTGAGACAACCTGAGTGCAAGGTAGACCTTAATACACAACTGCTGAAAGGGAACAGCATGAAGGGAAAAAGCCATTCTCAGCTAGGAAGAGCTCAGCCTTACAAAGCGTCTTAGACAAATGCAGCAGTTTTGGATTTTTTTCAGCTCTGCAGACTTGAGTGTGAAACCATCCCTTTTTGATATATTTTGAGAGAGTTCCCAGAAGTGACCCAATGGCAAATGACTCAAGTGTGTTCTTAAGCAGGAAAGGCACAGCTGCACTGAGGGAAGAGTCACCATTCCAGCACGAGCTCTCTTCAGAGGTGCTGACCCAGCTTGACAGGAAATCTTCTTGAAACTGATGCACTTGCAGTTCTTGCTTGGGAGAGTGTTTTCTAAAAAAGACATCGAAGTCCATATTAAAAGTATGAAAGAAAACCAGTTGAATTTGAGTAATTACAGCCAGAGAAATGAAGAAAACTGCAAGAAGATTAAAGAAACATTTACCAGGTGTTGATGTTAGTGTGCTTTAAATTATTCATCTGGTTGTAGAAATTAAAATTCACCCAGCTATTCAGCTGTAATTCTGACTGATTTAGACAGAGTTTCTGCAGGATTAAATTTTGGAAAGAATCTTATTGCCTTTATTCCATGCAAAACTTCAGCTGCAACTAAGAAAAAACAGAGAAAGGATGTTTATCCTTTTCAAAGAAAAAGCTAGTCTTCTTTTTTTTTACTCAGAACCCAGACCAAGTAGATAGTCAAGCTGTAACAGGAGTGTCTGCTGTCAAGTTTAGTGCTGAGGTCACTGGAACAGAGTTAGAATTTGGTCCATGGTTTTATGTTGTCCTCAACCCTGTATTTTTAAATATATATATATATATATATATTTATATTAAGGAGGAGCACAAGATCCTCTCAAAGCACTGGTGTAAACACCTTGTCTGGCACTGCATGTCTCATATTTGAAGTTTATTTTTTTAAGGGGTTTCACAATAACACTGTCACCTTCCAGCTCTGATCTTTGTTACAGGGATGGCTCACAAATAAGTAGAGTCAATGGGATGGAAAATCTTGAAAAATCTGTTGGCAAAAAGTCCCTCTTTTGTTTTTTTTTTTCATCATGAAATGTTCCCCTCAAGTCTTTAAATTCCCCTTATTGATTTTGAATAAGTACAAGCTTACATTTGGTCTTTTCCCAGTGATTCATATCCATGGACTCTTACATGATTTCCCATTACTCTCATTTTCAAGGACAGCTGACCTTGCATGGACATTGGCATGTAGAAAAGTGCCTTATTCAAAAGGCACTGTAATATTTTTTTTCATCATCTTAATATCTGTAGAACAAGCTTAACCTAAATCACTATTCCCTGGGTAATGGAAAATAACATCTTGGCTTTAGGCATTTGTAAAAGTATTAAAAAGAGAAGAGATATTGTTTTTACTGGCTTTGAGTCTTCCTACCCTACTTTATAGTTTCCTGATTAGTGCAATATTGGGCTGGCAGTGTGTCCTTTCTGCCAGGAGCACCCAAAGTATCCTGGGGTGCATCGGGAAAAGTGTGGCCAGCAGGCCCAGGGAGGTGATCCTGCCCCTCTGCTCAGCCTGGTGATGCCACAGCTGGAATATTGTGCCCAGTTCTGGTCTCCTCAGTTCCAGAAAGACATGGGGTTACTGGGCAGGGTTCATCAGATGCCACAAAGATGATGAGGGGTCTGGAGCATCTTTTAGAGGAGAGACTGCAGGAGCTGGGCCTGTTTGGTTGTGGAGAAGAATAAGGCTTGATGCAAATATCTCCAAGGTGGGTGCCAAGAGGATGGTGCCAGACCCTTCTATGGTCTCCAGAGACAGGATGAGGAGTGAAACTAAAATACAGGAAATTCCATTTCACCATGAGGAAGAACTTCTTTACATTGGGGGTGGCAGAGCACTGGAACAGTCTGCCCAGAGAGGTCATGGTGTCTCTCTGGAGACATTTAAAACCCACCTGGATGAACTCCTGTGCAACCTGCCTTGGCAGGGGAGTGCACTAGATAATCTCCTGAGGTCCCTTCCAAGCCTGATAATTCTGTGATCCTGAGATTGTCTGATTTTCTAGCTGGAATTTCCAGTGCTTCTCTCAGGCCTTCCTACCACTGAGTTCTCTTAGCTCTAACAGCAGAAATGATATTTTTTCCAAAGTTGTGCCATTTGAATGTATATTATTCATGCTATCATTCTTTGGGAAAGGGTTTAGAAGTTAGGAAGGGAGATAGCTGTAAGCAGGTGCAACACAATCTCTCCTGCTGTCTTCTCTGAACTCTGGAAGAAGTTGTAATGCCTCCAGGAAATGGACTTCAATTCCAACTTTGTAAATCATGTCCTGAATATTATCAGCTTAAGCTTGTCTCCACAGACTGCACTTGGAGCTGTTACTTTCAAAATTATTGGGAATGTTGATGGATAAATTTAGACAAAGAAAAGCATGGTTGTCACTAGGCAAAAATATCTAAGGAAATATTGGCACAATTTATCCCTTGTGGGAGCCATAAAAGGCTCTCATCCCAGCTCATCAGTATATCTCAGACAAGATACATCAGCTGAAAGTAATGTGGTAAATACTGAATAAACATTCAGCTCTCCAAGTGCAAACTGGTTAAATGAGAGACAAAGCAAAGGAGAAGCTGGGAAGGTGGGAAACTGAGGCACAGAGTTGCCTCGTGATTTGCCTCATGGGTCTCCAGAAGGTAGCACAGGGATCCAGATCTCTCTGGAGATCTGAGATCCCTTCCTACCCAAACCATTCTATGGGTTCCTCCCCAGGTTTGATTTTCAGGATTATCTTGAGCAGCTGACCATAACTTTGCGCAAGATTATTGTCTATAGTGGCTATAAAGCCTTTTCTGGCACCTTTGTTTTACTTGGGGAGGTAAAGGCATTTAAAAATTTTAGTGCAGGGGAGGTTATATGAGATTTTTTTTGATCAAGAGGATTTGGCCCATTTCATTTTCAAATTCTTAGATGAGTTTTGTTGTGAAAGGCAGGTGGGGTTAGATTCAAGGCACTTTATCTTATGTTGGTTACTCCATTTAAGAGCTCACTGCAGAACTCTGATGTGTATGCAAAATTTATGCCAAATAAAACCCAGACTGCTCAAAAAGAAATATGAGATTCTTTTTCTGAGTGCCCCTTCACTCAGTCTGAAGGCAATCAATGAATGGGCTTACAAGAAAACAATCCAAAGAAAGAGAACAGCTAATGATACTTCTGGCACATAACAGGAAGGGAGAAAGCAATGCAGTTTAGTGAAACCCCAGGCAGAAACCCAAATGGCTCTTGCCTGACATACCTTGACAAAGAAGGATTGGTTCCTTGCTGATTTATGTCTGTGTGATACAGATGAAGCCTGAGGATTTCAATTGAGATGATCTGTGTAACAAAAAAAGTAAAAAAAGAAAAATAGCAAACAAAAAACTCCACAAAAACAAACAAACAAATAACCAAAAAACAATTACCAATGTGGTGGCAGAGCTTGATGGAATCTAATTGGAGAAGCAACAGAGAAGCAAATAAATAAGAAAAAAAAGAATAAAAAAAATTGTATTTCTGTGCTGAGCTGCATAAATAGCAATTAAATCTCTAACCAGGCAAGAATTGGCTGACCTAGGAAAGGAGCAGTCTCACATCTTAGCTGGATGGGAAATTTAAAAATAACTGCTCAAAGGAATATTTAAAGGATACAAAACAAACATAAGAAGATTGGGTTTCAATGGAGTTTATGGCTTCTGGAAACAGTTCCTATGGCAGATTAGCAATATGGTTTACTTACTTGGAAGACATTTCATAATGGTATTGGCTTTATTTTCAACAGAAATTGTTTCCCACCAAAAGGAAATGAAATTTATTTTTGTGTGCATGTGGGTTAGTATTTAGGAGAACTTTTTATTCCTTTAGCCTCATTAGAAAGAAGATAAAATTGTCTTTGTATAGTTTTTCTTGACTAGTTAAGTGACACCTGTCTGCTTCAAGGGTTCTGATGACACTGGTGTTGAAAACATGAGGCCTCGACACAACTCACTTGTGGTCTGACTCTTCCAGCCTCCATCATGTTCACTTCCTTTCTGGAGACTGTTTTGTAATTTCTTTGCCTTGAGAAACCAACACTGTACATGTGAGATGTCTCCAGAGCAAGAACTGTACTGTAATTTATGGAAAGAACTTGGGTCAGGAGAGGAACATCTATTTTAGAGTGCATTATCTTGACCTGGGGACTTGTAGAGCTCTTCCACATTTTTATGGGCAAGTAAGGACTGGATGTGTTTCTCCTTTTTCTCTCATCATATATAAATACCAAATCTAGTGATCAGAATCAGAGACCACCTGGGCAGTAGGATCAGGTCACTCATGAATGAGTAAGGGATCTGCACAGGCCCAGTGGGATGTTAAAAACTTAATGTAGAGGGATCCTTTTACAGCTCTGGGTGTGACAAACCCCCCTGGAACATCACACTGAACATTAACCTGCAGCCTATAGAATAAAAGACCCTGTCTTAGCTACAGCTGAGATATCAGGCTAATTAACCCAAATTAACTCTGAAATTAATCACAGAAAGGATGTGAAATACCTCATTACTGGCATTGTACACTGCGAGGAAAGATCTGTAGGACCTTGAAGCCTTTTGTATATATTTACTTTCGTGATTCAGAGTTGCTGGTTTCTTTCAGTGGAAATCTGAGGTCCTTCACTTTGAATCCTCAGGATTTTTATTTTAGAATGGAATGTTAGGAACTACATCCTACCTGTGACAGATTAGATTTCTACTCACATTTTTTATTAGACTGTCACAAAATGTTTTATTTATATGTATATATTTATATAGATATTTATTATATATTTTATAGTATATATATTTATATTTATTTATATATTGTTTATATTCAACGTAATTTACCCTCTGGGTAAAGTACAGCTGGCCAAAGTGCTCAAGATAAAAGTTTGGTAAATGCACAATTTCCATCCATCACCTCTTGAACACAGGAGGCATTGAGATAGCACATTAGAAAGCATTTGGTTCCCAATCTATACCATTGATAGAGTACAATGCTTCAAAGTGTTACAGATACATCAGGGAAATCTTGATTTTCCAGTCTGACTTAAGGTCTGGGATTTTAACTCAGGGCCTTTCTTTTTGAATCTGTAGCTGTTGTGTTGATGAGATGGTGCCAGATATTCTGTGAGACACTGAGAGAATAACCAGTGGATTAATGCAATACCTGTGCTTGTCTGTAAAATACACATAGTCACACTTTTGTATATTTCAACTCTTACAGATAGTCACACTTTTGTATATTTCAGCTCTTACAGATAGTCACTGTACTTTTATGTACTTCAGCTCTTACATTTCTGGACCTCTAATTTGGGGTTTCCCAGCTGCCAAAGCATTATGTGAACAGTAGTAAGAAAAGTGGAAGAGAATTTTCCCATTGGTAGCCGGAAGAAAAGACTAGTTGAAATGAAATTGTGGAAGTGATTTCTTTCTTCTTTGTGTACCCCTCATTTACACGAGGAGCTCTTGGTGATTGTAATGGGAAATAGCTCTCTACCTGATGGGTGGAATGAATTAAAACCATATTATTTTAATTTCACT